CGCGCGCGTGTGTGTGTGTGTGTGCGTGACATACGTATATGTATATATCATCATCGAATATTTTACTTTAATTTTATCATAGATTTAAGAATATATTCTTTATTTTCAATGTTAAAAATTGAAGATATTCGCAAATTTAATAATATACAACAATATTGACGATTGAAAGTAAAAATCAGCAAGACCTAAAAGACCTCCCTCTGCCTTCTGCGTATTTTACGATTCTCTCGGCTGATTTAAGTTCAGATACAAATGGACAATAACGTTTTATCAATATTAATCATTATTCCGTTCATTGACGCCAGATCGAATTACATTTTATCCTCTTATCACAGCATTGAATACAAATAATTAATAAATGAATTATCTATCCTACGTAAGAATGTTTTACACCGCGTTGATTTAACGATAACGTCAATATAATGCGTAGCATATATAGAAAGAAAGAAAGAAAGGGAAGAGAGGATTGAGTTAAAGGACAAATTATTTTGAAAATAACTCCATTGTAATTAAAACGCTGCTTATGTAATAAATATTTCAAGTACATGTTCTTTTTGTTTTCATTTTTTTAATATTCGAACTACTTCTTTACTAACAATAAGTACTTTAATAATCGGCGAAATTTTATCAGAAATAGATTGGTAAAAATGTAAAATATTAACTTACTCGGTAAGCTGCACAAATTAAACGTTAACGCGTCGTTCATTCCGGCCGCACGACTAATGAAACTCTTCCATTTTGAATCGCCACACGTGAATCGATAACGCGTGTAATCGATTTTCGATACGCCGCGAATGATCGTAGCGATTTTTAGCGCGATGTTAGAACGTGTTTGAAACGCGTGACGTTTAAATTGCGTGAGAATTCAATAAATAAACATATACATGTATTAATTCAATTTATTATTTATTATATATTATTCTAATTATGATAAATATAACATATAATTTAGTTGAAATATAATTTTGAACAAATGACACATGCGCTGAACTTGAAATTGTATTTTCCGAGACTCATGTACACATTTTATTTAATTTGCAATTCATTTTTAAAACGGAGAATGCATATATGCAATTAATTTTCTCACAAAACAAGAAAAGAAAAGAAAAAAACTTTTTCAATTTCATTACCTTTTATCATTGTTACTTTATTATTTTATTACGGGCATTTGCTTCGTTTCCTACGGTAATAAAACTTGCTGCTTCGTGCAATGTGTGGCAAATCGTTTCAATATATATTTCATTCTTATAAAGTTTAATAAACGTCACGGAACATACGAGACTGCAAATATTACGCCACTGTCACACACATCCAATCAGCTGTTTCTGTTTCGTTTCCCGCAGGTACTGTGCCCGTCAAGTCATTTCACCGATTTTGTGTCTGCTTTCATTCTCGTACAAAGATCACCTGCGCCATAAGAATTGGCAGTAACAACGAATTTTGATCGATATACGTGTATACACAGCGTCGCAACGTAATTAACTAGAGAAGAAACAGTCTCGATGGAGAAGATCGCCGAGATGAACGTCTAACCTCACTTTTCAGCCGCTAGCTTCCTCGAGCAACCATGTAAATCGTTGAACGCACTCCAATGTATCATTCAAGTCGATCGCACGGCAGGAAAAGTTCATCGACGTTCCTCTCTGCGAGATATCGGTGTACCTCGGGTCGTTCTTCCCAAAGTGTTATCCTCGATGAGATTTCTCGTGGGATCTCGTCGCCGCGACACTCTCGGAAGCTTGTAGTACCGGTGCTCGGTGTTGACGTTTCGGTCGGCTTGAATATAATACGATGACCGAGAAATCCAGGAAGATAGTGACCAGATTTCACCCGATTCACGGGGAGAACATCATGCTGAGAGAGGATAACACTGTGGCGTATCGCACCGCCAGTTTTGCAAATTCTCTGGCATTCAGCGAGAAACCGCTGCAACCAGGTGAAATATTCTTGGTGGAGATTGAGAAGACTGAGAGGGGATGGAGCGGCCACATGAGACTGGGCTTGACTCTTATAGATCCTGCCTCTGTAAACGACAGTCTGCCACAGTTCGCTATGCCTAATCTTGCTAAACTGGGTAATACGTGGATATTTGCCATCACCAAGAGTCACACCATATGGGATAGTTTTGAAGGCTACGGTGAGAATTTGTAACTTTAATTCGTATGGTTCGTAATTCATGTTGACTAGGTTGATATTTATGTATGGTTTAAGGTGAGGGGATACCATCCGGAGAGAAGAAATTAATCACAGATGGAGTAAATGTGCAAACTTCTCGTGGAGTTATTCCATTTAATGCTCTTAGACCAAACACAATTGACTCTTCTCAATACATCCTACCTACTGATGCTGGTAGTCGTATTGGGATTATGTATGTGCCACAAGCTGGTTCAGACAAAGCAGAAATGCATTTTATAATTAACGGCGAAGACCAAGGTGTATGTGGAAAAGACATACCATATAAGGCAGGACCTTTACGAGCTGTAGTGGATGTATACGGTACCACAAAACAAGTCAGAATAGTTCAGCTATATGGTGGTGTGTTTCCATTGTTTTTTAAGTACACTGCCTTTACAGGAATTCCGCTTTCCTTAATAATTGTATTGTTTCAGCAGTATCTACTCTACAAAGTGCCTGCCGAGATGCTATACTACAGTATACTAAAAGGAACGCAGTTAATTTGCTTCCACTTCCACGGGTTCTAAAAGATTATCTATTGTACCAGTCGCAATGAAATTCACCATTCCATCATTCCACCTTGTCTTTTGATCGTATCTCACAACTCGTTTGTATAGTCATTTCAATACTCGCATAATTTCATTGACAATTCAATTTTTCTACAATTTGCAATGCATTTATCGCGTAATATAAATTTATTCTAGTTATTTTATTCTAAAACGAGCGAATGAAACTCAATAACATGAATTTAAAAATTGCTTTCATTCTTACAGTTAGCTGTTCTCTCACTTTTCTAACGTGTATAATTTATCATGTATGTAGTACATGTACTTCGCGTGAATGCTAGGCTCTATCGTGTGTATATAATGTAAGAAGTTGTTGACAAAACACCGAGTAAATTCTGATAAACGAAGGTGTATCGCGTTTTCTAATTCTCGCATTTTTAGCACTTATTAGCGATTACACTTTGACTGTATCATTCGCTAGAATTATCCATACATGTCATGCAGCATGTAAATCTATATAAAATTTCATCTAAAGTAAGTTTCACTCGGAACTATCGAGGTATGTCGTTCTTTTTCTATTGTTATAAATCATTGTACGTAACGAGGACATTGTAAGATGAACTTAATCGCACTGTTAACAAACGCAAAAAAAAAAAA